ATCGAAACTAGTCCTGTGAAAATTTTGTAAATATAACGCTGATTTTTGTTGTTTGACTTCTGAATTAGTATTTATTCGGCGTGTTATTGTGTCTTAATTAAATGTTTATTCAATATAGGGAGTGAAAGAACTTTTATTGCTAAATGGATATCTAGTTAATTAAAGTTAGAAGTGATATGTCAGGAATGTTTAAGTATTTTTGTTTTTGGTTCCAAAGCAGAAAAACACACAATTACTCATGATTGTGAAATCATGAGTAATTGTGTGATGGTAAACTTGAAAAGTGTTTATAATTCAAAGGAAGTAATAACCTTAGAGGCTATCGAAACTCCGTGTATTTGCGAAGCTATAGTTAAAGCACCTGGTAGAGAGATTAGTGATTATTGTAAGCAGATGAAAATACAAATGGCAGAAGAATTAGATTCTGAAAATTTAAAAATATTGTTGTTAATTGGTTCAGATTATTTTTGGAGTATTGTTACTGGGAAAATAAAACAAATGGCAGGCTCATTAGTAGGAATGGAAACGAAACTTGGGTGTGTGTTCAACAGATCTGACACATCAATCAGATTGAACTCTAGGGAAGTCAGAATAATGAAAATATTGTTCGAAATGAAAACATTGAAAAAATGGAAATTTTAAAGAAAATATTTGATTTTGAAAGTTTGGGAATCGAGTGCAATGAAAATTTTAAAGATGATGAGGATTTTAAGGGAATTCGAAAGCTCTATAAAAATGGTTAATGGTCGCTATGAAGTCAGTCTTCCGTGGAATAAAAACGTTAAATTTTTATCCGATAACTATGCTATTGCCGAAAGACGTTTTCAAAAATTAGTTAATAAATTTAAGAGAAATCCTTCCTTTCTTACTCAGTATAAGGAAATCATTTCAAAGCATGTTGCAGAAGGAATAGACGAAAAGGTTGATTCCAGTATGTCTGAAAGTAAAGTTTATTATATGCCTCACCAAGCAGTAATTCGTGAAGATAAATTAACTACAAAAATGAGAATTGTTTTTGATGCATCTTCTAGTGTAGCAAACTCCGTTTCCCTTAACGACTGTCCGAATTTAATGGCAGATTTATTGGCATTATTTCTGCAGTTCAGATTGAACAGGGTCGCCTTGACAGCTGATATTGAAAGTGCGTTTTTGCAGCTAGCATTAGCACAAGAAGACAGAGACAATGTTAGATTTCTGTGGATTAAAGATGATACCAACATGGAACCAGAAGTGCTGAGAAGGATGCGGGTTAGTTTTGGGCTAAGGTCAAGTCCATTCTTGCTAAATGCAACATTGAAACACCATGTAAGTAAGTATGAAAGAGACTACCCAATTGTGTTCCAAATCCTAAGTAAAAAATTATATGTTGATGATCTTATCCATAGTTTGCAAGATGAAGAAACTGCCTTTGAAGTTCATCGACAGGTGAAGTTTGTTTTAGGAGAAGCTACATTTAACATGAGAAAATGGCAAACAAATATATCTCTACTTCAGGATCGATTTAATGAGAAAACTGCTTCTGATACTTCGCCCTGTAAGGACTATAGCTGAAATTCTGAGGAAGATTGTATAAGCATTTACAATGAAAAACCGATGAATACGAACAATGTATATGAATTCAAATCGTCGAAAAGAGGTGCAATAAGAACTGTTGGAAAGGTGTTTGATCCAATTGGATTTATTTCTCCATTCACAATTAGGGCGAAAATGATACTTCAAGAATTATGGAAGAGAAGACTGAAATGGGATGAACCCTTACCACCAGATTTGGCAAAAACATATGAAAATTGGTGTGAAGAATTGCAATACTTGAACGAAGTGACGTCAATACGGCATTTATTTGAACTAAAAGAAAATGACAAATTAACAAATTGACAACTTCATTGTTTTGTAAATGCAAGCAAAACAGCCTATGGAGCTGTAATTTATTTAAGTTACAGCAATTTAGTTGGAAACTCTAGTTTGGTTTTAGTAGTTTCAAAATCAAGAGTTGCACCAGTGCATGAAGTTACATTACCTAGGTTGAAACTTCTTGCAAGGCTTGTAGGAGCTATATTATTTCAGTACATTCGAAACAACTTGGAACTTCAGACTTAAATTTTATTTCTGGTCCAATTCAATGATCGTTCTTCATTGGATCAAGAGAAATTCTCAAAAATTGAAGGTGTTTGTAAAAAACAGAGTTGAAGAAATAAGAACTATTTCTAATTCAAATTGATGAAATCACTGTTCCTTAAAGTAAAACCCAACAGATTTTCTGTCTAGAGGAGACAACTTAGTGGCTCTTGAGGGCAAGAAACTGTGGTCGAAAGGACCACGTTGGATAAAGAAAGATGAAGACCATTGGCTGCAATCGAGTAATGAAATTTGGATTTAAATGAATAGTAATTCATTTGAAGGTGAATCCGAAATAGACAATGCTGTTACTTTTTTCATAGGAACTGAATCAGAAACACTCTTTGACATACGGAAATTCAGCAAACTTAGCAACATCTTACAAATCACAGCTTGGATTCAGAGATTTATATACAATGTGAAGAATTCACACAATAAGAAAAATGGGTATTTAAAAACAGAACTACTTCAACTAGCTGAACAATATTGGATCAAAAGAACACAGATGGAATACCTTCCGCAAGAATATTTGGCTTTAACTAAAGGAAGACCATTGCCAGAAAATTCAATCATTAGACAATTTAACCCTATTCTAGGTAAAAGAGGAATAATTTTAATCAGAGGGCGTCTTCAGTATATTAATATTTCACAACAAGGAGCACAACCTTTTGTTGCCAAGTGCTTGTCACTTGTCTGATCTCATTATTAAGGAGTGCCATGAAAGAGTAAGACATGGAGGTGTAGCAGAAACACTAACTCATCTCAGAGAGAAAATGTGGATTTTAAGAGCCAAGCAAAGAACTAAGAGTGTTATACATAAATGCCTTTTATGCCAGAAATTTCGAACGAAGTCAGTGACTCAGATTACTGCGCCACTGAGAGCTGACAGATTATCAGAAACATATCCTTTTCAAAAGACTGGATTGGATTACTTAGGACCATTATATATTAAAGATCAAGATATCATGAAGAAGACCTATGTACTGTTTTTTAATTGCGCAGTAAGAAGAGCAATACATTTGGAATTGACTCTTGACTTAACCACTCAGTCATTTCTACAAGCCTTTCGAAAATTTGTTGGAAGAAGAGACATTTGCAGTGTGATTTATAGTGATAATGCAAATACATTCCACAAGGCAAACTGAGAACTGAATCTGCTGTGGAAAATCATGAGAGGGGAAGAAGTGCAAAATTTATTTGGGAAGTTACCTATCAAGTCGAAATTTATCGTCGAAAGAGCCGCCTGGTGGCGTGGTTTTGGGGAACGCTTAGTAAGATCAGTTAAGATATCCCTGAAGAAAATCTTAGGAAGAACATCAGTTTCATTTCAAGAACTGGAAGTTATATTGATAGAGACAGAGGCAGTTATCAACTCGAGGCCTCTCACTTATGTTTTCAGCGATCCAAATCAACCAGAACCGCTAACACCCGGACATTTCTTGATTGGACGATGATTACTAACTCTCCCTCAAGCGACTAATGTAATTAAAGTAATTCCTTCCTCTGAATCTCAACTTTTGAAAATTAAAAGATACCAAGAAGATTCTTCATCGAATTTGGAAAAGATGGAAGGCATCATATCTTCTTGAGCTTAGGTCAGCTCACCAATCACGATCAGTAAATTGACTCTCAGAACTTCAAGAGAACACTGTGGTTTTAATAAAAGATAACAATGTGCCTAGACTTATATGGCAAATGGGTATTGTGACAGAATTGCATTCTGGACGTGATGGTCGTGTCCGTGCAAGCACCATGAGACTTTCGAATAGAATTCTCATTAGAAGACCTGTACAACTGTTATATCCTCATGAACTCTCAGTAAACACTTAATGAACACTTGCGTTGCGTAATGAACTGTTGGCCTTGGAGGATGTTGCAAACTCAGCCGATAGGGGGTGATAGTGAGCCCTTGAATTGAAAACTGATTTGTTTACTTTTATCTTTAGAATGTAGTTGAATGTAGTCAGACATGTAGGATGTGTCTTGTCAAGTGAATTGTTCTTTGTATAATGTGTCAATAAAGGATTAAAAGCTAAGTAATTTTCAATTACTCTCTTTAGAAGCTCAGAAGATCAAGAACCAGGTAAGATCTATTATTTATATCCAATTTGTTTTAGATATATATTCAGTATGAGGAACAACGCGGATCTTAGTTTACATTAGGATTTACTTTACTTATTGACCAAAATTATATTATTTCATTACCTAAATATTTATATGCAAATACTACAGATTTTTCTGATGACTTAGATTTCAAATAGCACTTATTCTAATAATAATAATAATAATAATAATAATAATAATAATAATAATAATAAAAAAAAAAAAAACACATGAAGGCCTCAGAAAACAGGACAGTTACAGAATTAAATTTGCCAAAACTAGGAAAATTATTGTAGAAAGCTTAGTTTTGTCATACACTCCTTTAATTACAACTGGAAAATCCATTTTTTTTTTTTTTTTTTTTTTTTTTTTTTTTTTTTTTTTTTTATTTTTGTTTATTCTACTGCTGTTAGTTGTCTCATATTATTGGGCAAATTTCATTTCAGTAAACTAATTTTCAACAGGCTATGAGTTATATTCATAATGCTTTAACATGCATTCAAAAATTTAACACACTTTGTCTTAAAAAATGACTATGTGTTTGTGAATACAACTGCTATATTTGTAACTATATTTTATTTTTAAATGCACTGACTATTTATAAATTCTTGACATTTCAGATACTTCAGATCAGATCAATCAAATTTTGAGTGATATAGATTTTCATAGATTTTTTTATAATTACTATAATGAATTCATTTATGCTTATTTTAATTAAGATTTAAAAAGAAATAACAAATACAAATAAAATCTTAAATACAAAAACTATAAATATGAAGTACCTTGTACAAGATCAACATCTATTAGCTCAGTTTTAATACGAGCAGTTTTCTTTGGGACAGCTGAAACACCCTGCAAAAGATTAAAAATATATATATTAAGTATATGAAAAATATTTCCGCTTTCTATGATAACTTTGAAGAAAGCCAGAAAAAATGCCATGCAACTAAAATATTTTACATTTAAAAGACATTTTATTCGTGGAAATATAAGCATAATCCAAGCTACTATTTATATCCCACACTTTCATTTACACATTAAATTTTGCTTTAAAAAATATCTCATTACTTAACACATAAAAGTTGCATGGTTTTAAGTTTCTAACCAATTATTTTGTTATTTTGGCTTTGCCTTCCCTTCTTCTTGCATCGGCTCCCACCAGAGTGCACATTAGTTAAGTATTTAAATACAGAGTTCTTGAATTCGAAAGAGAGCATTAGAGGCTATCACTGATCATCTCATTATTATTCTTCCTAGTAAATGAGCTATTTGAATTGGATTTAGATTTGATAGTTAGAATTGCTCGTAGGTATTAAGGAACCAAGCCAAAGCTTGTACATGAGTTGGTGGTTTAAATTTAATATCTGAATTTACCTTAACTTTTTTTTTTTGCAAGCAGTGAAGATCATTTTCTGGTTTTATACAGGTTGTGACTATCACAGTGATGATTATTTTTTTAAACCTTAAGTTAGAGTTAATTTATTTAAAAGTTTAAGATTTGCAGGCAGAGTAAAATTTTAAATACATTCAAACAGCAATGCAACAGACAGGAAATTTACTATTATTACGGTAAAAGCCCAACAATCTGACATTCAGCTAACAGAAAGCTCAAGTAAGAGGAATATTTAGAATTTTAGAAAAAAATCTATAAATAAGAGATTGTAATACCATAATTGAATACTATTAACAAGCATACATTTTTCACCAAACAGTGTGATTTAGTACCATTAATAGCATCACACTATTATTATAAGAAGTTGGTTTAATTTTTGTAAAGCACGATACAAGTTCTATTTTTCCTGTAGCAGAAATAATGCTAATACTTGCCACAGCACAAGCATGTGCAGCACACATCACACAAACTTTGTACCAAGTGCTTCTTCTTCTTCTGTTTTGCTTCTGTGGAGGAACCTTCACGATTGCACAAGTAACTGTTAATCCTGTTATATTTACTTTCCATTGCCAAGTGGGCTATCCTTGTGTACATAGAAAGCTGCTCATCCTGAATAAAGAATGCTTTTTTGCTTACCCAAGTGTTGTTATTTTGGAGTCAGACAACCAGGGAATTTTCACTACATCAGTCATCTAGATGACTAGTGGCTCGGACATGATGGTCGACGTGGAAAGTTATGAAGCAATAAAAATTGAAAAGTGGGTGAGTAGCTAACTCTTTAATTTCTTTACAAATAATAAGGCATTGTACTGAAATTAGTTATAATTTAAAGAATAATTTGAAAGTTGCTTCCTTAGACTGTTAAAACTGCTGAAACAAATGACAGATTTGAATGAAGAACCTTTTGCTATAGAATGGGTAAAGCAGAAATAGGCAGTTGTTAAGACAGCAATGAAACTAATTCCAAAAATAGAAATGAATTTAAATGAGCCGTTAACTGATACACTTACTAGAAGTGCAAAGGTTGAAGAATTATGTGATCTGTCTAATGAGCTAAAAAGAAAATGTTAATTCACTAAAAGTTTTAGACAATAAAATTAAAAATAATATACATTTAAATAAATTAGAACAGAAAGTTTTACATAACCAATATTATCAAGAAAAAGTCGCCAAATGGCTATGGAGAATTAGACAGTAATATAAAATTGTATTTGGGTAGTGATTGGAGTGTTAATACTTTACAGAATGTAACTTCTGAAAGATTTGCTAGAAGTATGGTGAAACTGCCTAAGTTAGAAATATTCAAATTTTATGGGGACCATTGTACTTATCTAGATTTTTATCTAGATTTTTGGAATAGTTTTGAAGAAGCAATACATAATAATCAAACATTGAAAAAGGTTGAAAAACTGAACTACTTAAAAATCTTATTTGCAAGAAAAGCTCTTAACATAACATAACAATGGTGGCGTTTCCTTCTTAACCCTTTAACTGCTTAAGACGTGTTTAAACGTTTTTGGAATTTCTTTAAAAATGCTTAAGACGTCTTTACACGAATTTCAAATCGCACGAAAAATGCTTAAGACGTGTATACACGAAGCCCGAATTTCGCGAAGATTGCTTAAGACGTGTTAGACGACGCGATCTGGTCTTCCTTCCCCTACCTTTCTGCAGGCGGCTGTCAGTTGCCACAAAGGTCTTAATAGGGTGTGAAGTCTCTTTGAAAAGAGCACTTTAGGAAAAAGTCCTTAGAGTGAAGTATCTTTGTCAGACAGCAGGTATGTATTATCTGTGTGCCGACTAATAGTTTGCGAAAGAAGATAAATCGTTTTACAACTGTTTGCCTTGTGGTACTTTATACAAATGAAAGTCAAACAGGATCCGACGTTGTTATAGTACATTGCCGAATTTTAGTAGAAACAAAAAAAAATAAGAATTGTAACGGAGGACGCCTTTATGCCTATATGTTATAGAATCAAATATTTTATTTTTGTATTGAAAAATGATTACAATTTCTGATTCGTCAGGAAAAAATATAAAATGTTGCAACCAGCTTTCTTGTTTGCCTTCGTATTTCAAATGCGTGTTATTATAATGGTATATTCTTTTTTTTACATTCTTAAATGTTAAAACTGTGCTTTCAGCATGCCTGAGTTTTGTACTCGTATGTGTGGCTCTATGCTCCGTAGAAATGGCGAACTGACATATAAAAATTATATGAATGTTGAAAGGAAGATATTCTACTCGAAACTTCAACTAAATGGAATAAATGAATACGCCGAAGGAATTTCTAGAAATATTTGTTTTAAAAATTTTATTATTAAGATTTTAAATACCAAAATGTTTTGAAATCTAAAGAAAAAATATGTGTAATCCTTGAAACATTTTTGGAAAGAAATCTATCGATATAAAATCTCTTAAAATTAATGGAGTGTAAATTAATTAAAACAGTTAGTGTACGGAAGGGTTAGATATACTCCGCACAAAAAATTACAGTCAGAAGATCAATTATTTAAAGATATAAATTAATTACATTAAAAGAATTTAAAATAAATTAACATCTGTCCAAATGTCAATGCTAACAGCAATAGCACGAATGAAAGTTATTCTTTAAATTCCGAACTTAATTCATCCGTCGGTACGCAATGATTGTGTCTTTGCGATTACTTTTCTTATAGATACTACAAAAGGCCGCCAACGAAGTAGCGGTAAAATCGTTGAATACTAATAGTTTGAAGCGGGTTCAAATCCTGACGAATGGATTGCCTGCATACCAGTTTTAGCGAATTTTTGCTGCCCATGTTTAATGTGAATATGAGCCAATTTTAGTTAGCTTTTCATGATGACGTGCCTTGACTACGAGTCCTCGCTCGGGTTGTGTTTGGTTTGGCTTGTTAGATTATTAAGCACGTGAAGGCGATCTGTCTAAGGGGAGGTATGCTTTCGTGACAGATTTTCTAAGGGAAACAATCTCGCACTACAAAAAGTTAAAACCATAAAAAACGCCCATGCAATCAGCTTGTTCACGGGGGTTTGAATGCAGGTCAAACTACCAGTATGTTAAGAGAAGCGATTTCAAGAATGTTTAATTATTTTATTTAGTTTGTCATAAGCTAAATAAAATAATTAAACATTCTTGAAATCTCTTCACATTACTGAAATGGCAATAACTTCGAATTATACTATGCTACCACTTTTCCTCTAATATGAAATTTTGAACTTTTCCGTTATCGGACAGCCCACCAGCGACTGAGCGGAGTCTAACGGAACAACTGGTGGTTCTGTCCGGGGTTCGAATCCCGGCAAACGGGCTGGTTGCCAGGATGATATTCTTAGTTTTCCATATGTGTAACATGTATGCAAGCCAATTTCCGTTAGGCAGTCCTCGAACGAAGGCATCCTTCACCTTAGGCAAATAACCATCGAGTACTTTGCCATAATCAAATAAACCTTTATCCATAACATGCTTCAAATATTTTTATGTTGAAAAGTTCATGCGCCAAAGTTGGCCCCCGTTGAATGAAATATGTTGTTTATTTTTTCTTTGTTTTTTATAACAACAATGTTCTTGTTTTCAGAATCTGAATTATCAATAAAATTCTTTTAATAATATGCGATTCTATTTTGTTTTTTTTTGTTTAATGAAAAAATTAATTTAAGCGACAAATCTCTTACATTTAGAAAAATTTTCGATTTTCGAAACGAGTTGCTGTCAAAAGCGCATCTTCTCGTTGCTGCATATATTTATTTAAAGCAAACTGCTTGGCGCGTGTGCTTTTATATTTGAAAAGATTCAGAGAATTTTCAACAGGGAAATAAAGTTATTAATTTTACTGAATTTTGTGGATTCTTTGTGTTTTGAGGTAAAAGTCAAACCATCAGATATGTGATAACCTTAAAATAAGGGTATATATAATCAGGATTTTGCGGCCAGACATTCCCAGCGAAATACATTACAAAAAATTATCTATGTAGAATTAATGTATATTCCGTTTAGTATTTTAATTTATCAGTGTTATTACACATCAGTTTATCAGTGTAAGTTATATCGAGTTTTAGTTGTGTTCGATATAAGAATTTTATTTGGTTTATATAAATCCGATTCGTTTAATAATATTATATTTATTAAATACTATTTATTAGGTTTCCAAATCTGTCAAACCCAATCAATGGCCTCCTGGCTAAGATTTCTGATTATCGCTATTTCGACTCATATTCGAACCCAAACAAACGAACTGGTTGCATGGTTGAATTTTGTGATTTCCCCTATGTGTAACATGAACATGAGTACGTTTTACTTAGAAAGTCGTCCATGGAGACATTCATTGCCTTCGGCTGATAGATCTCGTTTCCTTTGCCATACTCAAAAAATCTAAAAATTTTTCAAAAAGACTAACAGATGCATATAACAAAATAAAATTAAGTAAATGCATATAAGAAAATAAATAAAATTAAGTAA